GATATAAATCCTGAATATGATATGCAACTTCTTTAAAACAAGATAAATCTGCTCCTCAAGTATAAGTGTGTGTATGTTAAGATTTGATTTCAGAGATTATATTATAAAACTGTTTTATTCGGTAATGCGGAGTGACGAGACAACATTAAAACCCATTATAAACGAGGCATTTGTTGCATCCAGTGGGGACATAATTACGGATTATAATGACATACACTGTCTTTTTATGCGTTGCATTGCATCGCGTCGCGTAAACTAAACCATGTCTGCCATTTGTGATTGGAGAAATGACAAACTACAAACGCTACTCTACACTGCTCAAAACTCACGTTTGAATCGTCAGAGGCAAATCCTTTAAATGAAAACATACTTACGTGAAGATGTCACGAGGAGACGGAGCGGAGCCGTATCTCGCTCTCGAGGGGAAGGAAAGCATGCTTAGGTTTCAGAATCACCGGCGATACGCTTCAGCATTATAGTGAGGAAACATCACACCTGACCCATATAAAGAGACTCGTGCATGCATCGTACTTGATATTTCATTCAAATCACGCTCTAGTAGTTTAATAGATGTTCGGTTTATAACTTCAGTCACTGGTTAAGCGATTTAAAATCTATGAACCTGGATTTTCACTTCATTCTACTGTGGAGAAGGTCTCGGTTTCTCACACTTGAATAATTTGCATCATTCGGTCCTTGAAGTGCTGTTAAAGACGGGGCCAAACCTCTTCCAACGAGCCACATTTGAAAACACAAAACAACTTCAGAACTAACATAAAATATTTTACTCTTCTATTAAGATACAAGTCTTTGGAAGGAAGGAAGGAAGAAAGAAAGAAGGAAAGAAAGAAAGAAGGAAGAAAGAAAGAAAGAAAGAAAGAAAGAAAGAAAGAAAGAAAGAAAGAAGGAAAGAAGGAAGGAAAGAAGAAAGAAATTTGGTTCATCAAATTAAAAATTGTGAACAGTTATACGGATATTGTGTTAAAAATGTATGAAGTGTTTTTTAAATTTATTTAATTTATTTTGTATTTGTTTTATTTTACTTTATTTTTTAGGTATTTTATTTCATTTATTTATATTTTTATTTATTTATCTATATATAAAAAAATTTTGCCCTGGGACTATAAGTGAAAATTGCACACTGGCTAAATCTGCCAATTTTACATTGATTTTGATTTTAGATTTTTTTTTATCTGTATATTGTAATACGTATTTTTTTTTTACATTTTAACTGTTTTATTTATGTAACATTTCTATTTATTTTTTACTTATTTTAATTTTAGTTCTACACCTATGTACATTTATTTACATATTTTTTTTATTAATGTTTTTTATATATTTTTTTATGTTTTATTTTTAACATGCGTTTTTTTCTATATTTTATTTTAATTTTTAAATGTATTTATTTTGTTAATAATGTAAGGTTTTATTTATTAATTTTTTTTACGTTTTATTTACAAACAAACACACAAAACACACCTTTTCTCCTGACGTCACCTAGGCCTAATAATGCAGGGTATAAGTTGAAAGTTAACAACCAATGGACCAATAAAGTATATATTTTTTTGCAAAATCACATTCATGTCTGGCTACATTTAAAACGGCCAGTTTTCACAACTCAATCAATTACTAATAAACAAAATCTTGTTTTTCTTTCTAGTTTTAAACGTTTACATATTTTTAGAGCAAAACAAGACAAAACACTATTTAAAAAAATCATTTTAGTAATGCACACGGACAGATTTGTTGAATATATGATGAATATAATCAAGGCAGACCGAGTGATTTTAAGGCTGAGATTGATGGGATAATAACAGCCCTTATTCACAGACAATGCATGAAGCTCACACAGATTCAGACAGACAGATACATGCATAAATACGGATAAAAAAACGAATGCAAAAAGAGCTACAGATGTACTCAATCACTCAAAGTGAAAATAGAAAGAGAACAGAGTCGTGTAATAAAAACCCGAACACCTCTGCTACACACATAAGATGCACACTTCTAAAATAAACTAGTCACTATGTAATTACTCATATGGAAATGTAATATATGACATACAATATAAAGCCCTATATTGAGTGGTATTGCCTTATATGTTGCTTGTATGTTACTAATTTTCACATACATGCATGCATTCTCTGTGTAGACAAAGACATAAGTTTATAATGCATGCATATGGGAATTTTATACATGTACATATAATGATGATTACTTTATATGGTATTATATGCATGCAGCAACCATATATGCCAACAATATATATTTTATTTATACATGCAACTTTATTAAAACAACATACAATAATATTGGCACCCTTGGTAAATATGAGCAAAGGCGGCGGTGAAAATAAATCTGCAAAATTCACAAAATTCTAAAGTGTCACTGACGCAAAACAATTGAAAGTGGTGGGAAACTCAGATTATGAAATAAATGTTTTTTTTTCTGCAATGCATGTAGGCTACCGTTATTGGCGCCCCTAGAAATTCTTATGAGTAAAACATCTCTATATTCCTATTCATATTCCCTTCCAGCCTTCATGGACAATTATACATCACTCATAAATGATTAAATACAAAATCAATAGTAGTTATTAAGAATGATGTGGTTTTGGAATTGGTAAAATGTGTTTGGGAAAACAAATATCAGAATATCAACGTGCCTAATAATTATGCATGCTATGATATGAAATCCTTCCAATTTCTAAAAGGATTCATATGTTTTAACAATATTTTTTGCATATGGAAAAATATGAACATATCTTATATTTGCGTATGGGTGTTTTAAGCGTGATTCATCATTCACCAACCAGATGCACTTCTTAGTAATTCACGGACAAAAACCTATAAATCAACTGACAGAAATGCAACAAATAATATGCCTTGCACATAAATAATACATGGTTCTCTTACACCTTTGCCAAAGTCAAATTCAAGCATTTTTGCAGTGCATTTTCATGCAACTAACAGTTGTGTTAAATTACATATTAGCATAAATACATATTCTTCTGCACATTAAATCAGATGATGCATATGCAGATCCGCACAGTTTTGCTCTGATATTTTTTTTTTAAATATACATCATGCAATATGAATTACTAATTATGTAGAGTACAGATTATTCTGTATTCTATTGTAAGTATTCTGTAATTACAGCCAAGCTATATAAAGCGCAAGCATCCTAACCATATATTATCCTGTTATCTAAAACACACACTGTTTAGTCCGAGAGTGAATTATTATGAAAGCAGTGCAATTACAATTTCAAGCACTTTAGCAAAAATTCAAGCACTTTTCAAACAAGAAGTTCCAGCACCGTATGAACCCTGGTCAGTCAATAATTACATGCGGGTAAACAAATAAAATATTAATTTTGAGTGTTTTATTTTTAATATTTGTAAAATATTTTTATAGCTATTTTTTATTTTTAATATTTTTAAATTTTTATTTTTATTTTTTTATATTTTATTGTTTTATTTTCTATTTTAAATATTTAAAAAAATATTTTTTACTCTTATTTAAAATATATATATATATATATATATTATATATTGCAAATATTTTTAAATGTAATTTTTTATTATATAATTATGTTTATTTTATTTTTACATAATTTAAAAAATCTGTTAAATAAAATAGAATTAATAACAATTTAAAAAAAATTATTAATAACTTAAATTTTTATATTTGTTTTTATTAAAAATTTATTTTTTACAGTTATGACATTGAATTAAATTACACATACCATGATGTGATATTAGTTCTGCTTTAAAAGTTCAGATGAGCCATGAGATTTAAATTCTTCCTCTTTACAGCAGAACCGCAAAAAGACAGCAAGCCACTAACCAACCTCAGTTACCACTAACCAACTCGTCACTGAGCAATCACTGACGCGTAAGTTCTAGGGGTGTGCCATATATATCGTCTGCGATAATATTGTAATTGTTGTTTTAACGATGTGTGATTTGACATTAGAGTATTTTGCAAAAAACATTTAAAACACCTCCAAAGCGCACGCATACATTACGTGAAGTCTAGACTAGTGCGCATTCACAGTGCGTTCTTTCACTGCGTGATTCAGTCTAATTAAATACATTTAGAATGATCACAAATTCAAGACATGGGGGCAGAAAATGCACATATTTATACCACTTCAAATAGTTAATCAATTTCACATGAAGAGTGACGTTTTTTCTTTAAAAATGTTTAATGATTACAAATGTGATGTTGATTTTTTTTTACAACAGTTCAATAAACTAGACGTTAATTAAGAGACTTACGTTTAAGACACTGTTTTCGAAAACAAAAATAATTCCTGTTTAGCGTCTCTGAGCAACATGACGGTGATTCGTTCCTGAATGAATCAAACATTTAAATGATTCGGTTCAGTCGCGATGACTCACTTATTAACAGTGACTTGCTGCCACCTGCTGGCGGTTTTAATTTCACGTTTAAAGTATCTATTTAATGTTTTATGATTAACATATCAAAACATTATTTATGCATTTGTAACTGCAGGTTAAATGCATTACATTAACAGTGTGTAAACACATCTAAACGCCACTTCAGACGCAGCTTCTGTGTTTCCTCTGCAAAGATGAATTTTATTGATATTGATTTAATTTGCTCGGTAACAGCCCAAATGTCTCATTATTCTAATCCACTTGATTAAATGTAAGAATTTGACTCAAAAGATAATGCACACTTAAAAAAAAATTTTTTTAAAGGCTTATAAAATTATTATTATAAAAGGTTAAAATGCCCATAAAAGGTAAACAATCAATTTAAACATTGAAAAAGATTCATTTCTAACAGTGTGAACTGATCACCACACAGAATATAAAGAATATCAAAAACTGTAGGAGTCAGTTTAAGATACCAGCACAATAACACACTCAGCAAAATATCAACTAATTATCGATATCGATAAAATCCCAGAAAATATTGAGATATTGATCGCACACCCCATACGCGTAACGTGAGGGTCTATGCACGTACCAGTTTGTTCTCCTGCATGTAGATCCTCTGTAGTTTGCTGCACCCCTGCGCCAGCGCCACCAGACCCTCGTCACTGATGCTGTAGCACTGGCCGAAATGCACGTCCTTCAGCTCTTTGCAGTGTTCACCCAACTGCACAAAAACACACAAACATGCATTCGGTTCAGTACAGCCATATGACTGGATACACAAGGGATTCACAAAGTGAAGTCCTTTGCGCTACAGTACTAGATAAGTCCCCCAAGATTTTAAAGGGGTCATAGGATGCCCATTTTCCACAAGTTGATATGATTCTTTAGACTCTTAATGAAAAGTCTGTAACATCGTTTGGTTAAAATTTCTCAACGGTAGTGTAAAAAACACCTTTTTTACCTGGTCATAAACAGCAAGCCGTTTTGTAGCATTATTCGTATAATTTATATCAGTGTTCCCACTAGTGGGTCGAGGATCATTCCGTAGGGGGTCGCGAGACTTTCTCTGTGTTCTCGGTGTTACACCGGCACAGTAAGTGCACTTCACAAAAGGCTCATTGAAACAGTGTCCTCCAACGAATCGTATTTTCGAATGTCGCATGTTGAGTCATTATTGCCGTAACTTTCTAAGTTCCAAGTTCTTGCTTGTCAAACAATTAATCGCATCCAAAATAACTTTGTGTATGAAATGTGCGTGTGCTGTGAATATTTATATAAATAAACACACATGCAGTATATATTTTAAAAATATTTACATGTATATATTTATATTCATTTAATTTCTATTATATATAAATATATTTAATATATAAACGTAACATATTTTTCTTAAATCTATACATGCATGTGTTTGTATTTATAAATATGCACAGTACACACACATATGTGAACCTGGAGCACAAAACCAGTCATAAGGGTCAATTTTTTATTTGGCTGAGATACAGCTATTTGAAAATCTGGAATCTGAGGGTGCAAAAAAATCTAAATATTGAGAAAATCATCTTTAAAGTTGTTCAAATGAAGTTCTTAGCAATGCATATTACTAATCAAACATTAAGTTTTGATATATTTACGGTAGGAAATTTACTAAATATCTTCATGGAACATGATCTTTACTTAATATCCTAATGATTTTTGGCATAAAAGAGAAATGTATAATTGTGACCCATACAATGTATTGTTGGCTATTGCTACAAATATCCCCCAGCGACTTAACACTGCTTTTGTGCTGCAGGGACACATATATTATGTAAACAGAAACTTTTATTTTGGACTCGATTAATCGCAATTAATCGTTTGACAGCACTAATTTTAAGTTAACATTTTAATAACTTAGCAACGCATTGGTATGTTGATGGTTCTCTTACACCTTTGCCAAAGTCAAATTCAAGCATTTTTGCCGTGCATTTTCATGCAACTAACAGTTGTGTTAAATTACATATTAGCATAAATACATATTCTTCTCCACATTAAATCAGATGATGCATATGCAGATCCGCAGTTTTGCTCAGATATTTTTTTTTAAATATACATTATGCAATATTAATTACTAATTATGTAATATAGTAAACATAATTTAACAGATTATTCTGTATTCTATATATTATCCTGTTATCTAAAACACACACTGTTTAGTCCGAGAGTGAATTATTATGAAAGCAGTGCAATTACAATTTCAAGCACTTTAGCAAAAATTCAAGCACTTTTCAAACAAGAAGTTCCAGCACCGTATGAACCCTGGTCAGTTAATAATTACATGCGGGTAAACAAATAAAATATTAATTTTGAGTGTTTTATTTAGTTTTTATTTTTAATGTTCGTAAAATATTTTTATAACATTTTTGTTTTTATTTTTAGTATTTGTAAAATATTTTATATAATATTTTAAATATTTTATTTTCCATTTTAAATATTTTCAAAAATAGTTTTACTCTTATTTAAAATATTTTTATTTTACTTTCATTTTAAATATTTTGCAAATATTTTTAAATTAATTTTTTTTATAATAAAATATTATGTTTATTTTATTTTTTAAAAAAATTTAAAAATCTGTTAAATAAATAGAATTAATAACAATTTTAAATATATATATATATTTTTTTTATTAAATTAAAATTTTAAATTTTTATAATATATATATATATTTTTTTTTCATTTAAAAATTATATTTTTATTTTACAGTTATGACACTGAATTAAATTACACATACCATGATATGATATTTAGTCATAAAGCAAAAAACTTGAAATGTCGCATAAAACATGCAAGGAAGCGGTGCTTTAATCACAAATGTGTTCAGGAGAACAAAATCTTCACTTCCTAAGAAAAAGCATCATAATACAATACAATAAAATAATTAAAAGTTGCTGCAACCAAGAAAGCATGTGACTCTTTTCCCCACATTTTAAGACTTAATTTGCATCTTGGAGTTTCCATCTAGTGTTTTTATCGCAATATCCCAAAATTTGTCAAAAGACGTTAAGATTGTGATTATATGACATAGAAAGCACACTGAATGTAAGTAAAGTTTCTACTTTTAAGGTTTCAAATATGTTTTTGGAGAATAAAATGTCAGAATTTGGTTGAAATAATGTTACGTTGTCATTCAGCGTAACACTTATAGTTATGTAAAAAATGTTTATTCTGACGTGTACATATTAAAATATATAAAAAAATAAGACAGCATATGAAATTTGATTGTGTTTTAAATTCTTACTGACAAATGGGCAAAACCTAGGATAGTGGAAAATTGAAAAAAAAAATTAAATTACAACTAATTAGTATTTGGGGTGAAAGTAATTAGTCTTTTAATATGTCATAAATAGATTTTTGTTGTAAATATGCCAGACAAGATTGTTACACTGGATGATATTTTAGCGGCTCTCTTCTGTAAATCAGGGGGAAATGTATCATTTATTTTTTGCTCAGAAAAACAAAAACAAAATTGCAATTACATTAAACAGAAAACTTTGTAATTTTTTGGGGAGAAAACAACAACAATTTAAAGCAGTTTTACACTTATTGTTTTTGTGCATTTTCATGCAACTAACAGTTGTGTTAAATTACATATTAGCATAAATACATATTCTTCTCCACATTAAATCAGATGATGCATATGCAGATCCGCAGTTTTGCTCAGATATTTTTTTTTAAATATACATTATGCAATATTAATTACTAATTATGTAATATAGTAAACATAATTTAACAGATTATTCTGTATTCTATATATTATCCTGTTATCTAAAACACACACTGTTTAGTCCGAGAGTGAATTATTATGAAAGCAGTGCAATTACAATTTCAAGCACTTTAGCAAAAATTCAAGCACTTTTCAAACAAGAAGTTCCAGCACCGTATGAACCCTGGTCAGTTAATAATTACATGCGGGTAAACAAATAAAATATTAATTTTGAGTGTTTTATTTAGTTTTTATTTTTAATGTTCGTAAAATATTTTTATAACATTTTTGTTTTTATTTTTAGTATTTGTAAAATATTTTATATAATATTTTAAATATTTTATTTTCCATTTTAAATATTTTCAAAAATAGTTTTACTCTTATTTAAAATATTTTTATTTTACTTTCATTTTAAATATTTTGCAAATATTTTTAAATTAATTTTTTTTATAATAAAATATTATGTTTATTTTATTTTTTAAAAAAATTTAAAAATCTGTTAAATAAATAGAATTAATAACAATTTTAAATATATATATATATTTTTTTTATTAAATTAAAATTTTAAATTTTTATAATATATATATATATTTTTTTTTCATTTAAAAATTATATTTTTATTTTACAGTTATGACACTGAATTAAATTACACATACCATGATATGATATTTAGTCATAAAGCAAAAAACTTGAAATGTCGCATAAAACATGCAAGGAAGCGGTGCTTTAATCACAAATGTGTTCAGGAGAACAAAATCTTCACTTCCTAAGAAAAAGCATCATAATACAATACAATAAAATAATTAAAAGTTGCTGCAACCAAGAAAGCATGTGACTCTTTTCCCCACATTTTAAGACTTAATTTGCATCTTGGAGTTTCCATCTAGTGTTTTTATCGCAATATCCCAAAATTTGTCAAAAGACGTTAAGATTGTGATTATATGACATAGAAAGCACACTGAATGTAAGTAAAGTTTCTACTTTTAAGGTTTCAAATATGTTTTTGGAGAATAAAATGTCAGAATTTGGTTGAAATAATGTTACGTTGTCATTCAGCGTAACACTTATAGTTATGTAAAAAATGTTTATTCTGACGTGTACATATTAAAATATATAAAAAAATAAGACAGCATATGAAATTTGATTGTGTTTTAAATTCTTACTGACAAATGGGCAAAACCTAGGATAGTGGAAAATTGAAAAAAAAAATTAAATTACAACTAATTAGTATTTGGGGTGAAAGTAATTAGTCTTTTAATATGTCATAAATAGATTTTTGTTGTAAATATGCCAGACAAGATTGTTACACTGGATGATATTTTAGCGGCTCTCTTCTGTAAATCAGGGGGAAATGTATCATTTATTTTTTGCTCAGAAAAACAAAAACAAAATTGCAATTACATTAAACAGAAAACTTTGTAATTTTTTGGGGAGAAAACAACAACAATTTAAAGCAGTTTTACACTTATTGTTTTTATGCTTAAACCCTTTTTTTCATCTTTGACCCATTAACATATGTGGATGGAAACACTGATGTTGACTCGTAAGCACACGTGTTTATCACATGCATCCATCAAGTGAGTTCGGAACAGCTCACCAGTTTGAGAGCGTGGTCCGTGAGTTTGTCCTGGTTGCCGGTGTGCACTTTCTGCAGGAGCGGGCAGTGGATGGCCACGGTGCACAGAGACACGTCGCTGAGCTGCTTACAGCGGTACGCCGTGTATTTGATCAGACCGGGACAGTTAGACGCCAGAGAGCAAACGCCGTGATCCTGAACGTTACGGCAGTCGGAGATGTTGATCTCAGTGACGTTCTGCCTCCGGGACGCGATCTTCACCAGCAGATCGTCTTTAACCTGTGCTCACAGACATCACATCAATCTCACTTTAACATTATTAGATACTATTCAATCCCACCGGTCACAATAGTGAGAGTAAAGATGGTTTGCATTTATAAAGCTGGCATTTATAAAGTCTGGTGTTTTAGTGCATTTTCTGCAAATATGAAGGGTCTCAATTAAATATGTGCAATATTGTTACACGACCAGAGCAGTTTATGATGGATGCATCAAAGCTCCAAAACAAAAGGATAGCAATGTGTGTTAAAGATTTTTGGTACATGTTATCTTTAAGGTGTCTAGTATTAATATATGAATCCACATATATTCAGTTTTGTTGGGTTTGGACATAGAATGATAATAACAGTAGTATACCTATTCAGTGTTGTATAAGGGTTTTTATGTATAATAGTAAGCATAGAATGGGTTTAAACAGTTTACAATGGGTTAATAACTGGGCTGAGATATATAAGATTTTTTATGAATGCAGAAATAATTTAATTTCAGTATGCACATTATTGTGACCAACCATAAAACACAGACTTTTCCATAAACATTTAATAAAAATAACAAGTATTGATTATTTCAAGGGGTTACTGATGACACATCATTTTCATATCTTCATGTCTGAGAAATATTTGAAATAGCTTTTAATTTCTCATTTTTAATTTTAGTTCACGTTTTAGTCATTTTGTGATTGTGATGTTTAGTGATTTTTGCTTTTGTCATTTTTATACATTTCTATTCAGCTTTAGTTCTTATTTCAGTTTTAGCAATATTAATACTTGCACTTAAATTTCAGCTAGCTGCCAAGGGAACATTAGTAAGTAGCTTTTTTTTTGTGCTAATATTTATTTTATTTCAGCTTTATTTTAATTAAAATCTGAAAATCATTTCATCAGTTTTAGCAAACAATAACTTAAGACTTTAAAAAAAAATTGCTGCCATAATATAAATGCATAAAAAACCAACAAAGCTTTCAGCTATAGTTCATTAAAAAATAATAATAATAATAAAACTATTTGGTAAATATTTATTAGGGCTGCATGACTTGAGGGAAAAAATAGAATTGTGATTTTTCTGATAAAAAAAGAATTTATGAATTTTTTAAAATCCAGGTTTGCTGCACAATTTGGTCAACATTATAATTATTTCTTATAATAATAATAATATCTAAATAAACAAAAATTACTATTGTAATACATTTCAGTGTAAAATACAAACTAATTGAGTGTTCAAGAAATATAATACTAATACAAATAATAATTTTATTCTACATTACAACTGTAAAATCACCATTCTAATATTTCTTTTTCAAATATTAAACTTTTATTCTGACTGAAAACTGCAGGAAGCCCATGAAACGTTGTTTGTTTTTTGGATAAGTGCTTCTTTCATTAGCAGTTTGGGAACATGGTTGGTACACGATTTAGCTTTTCTTTATCTGCCCTAACAGTCATGCACAAAATAATTCTATAACTAAAGTAGTTTTATAGATGAATTGGAACGAGCACAAACCTGCTGGAGGCCGCTGAGATCGATCTGTTTCCAGAACTGGAAGTCTAAGCAGAGATCGCGCCAGTATTTACAGACCAGAGACGCGCCTAGACATCTCTCCTTCACCGACAGGTGAGAAAACACCTGAGAGCACATTACACACGAGTTAATCGACTGTTCATCACTTCAAACACAGTGTCATTTTAACTGAACTATATTTCATCTCAGTATTTAAGCTGCAGGTTTGATGTGACGCTCAAAGCAGATCATGCTGCTTTTGTGCAATAAACAGTTTTGGTCTTGTGTTGGTCACCAATTGATATCCAGTGATGTTCAAACCATTGGTTTCAGGCAAGACACATAACTAATTAACACCACCTTGCTTCCCCAGCTGAAGAATTGCAAACATTGTTTGTATTATAAGTTTTATGAAACTTAACATGCAAACCGTGCATTATCTTATTAAACAGGCACTCATTTGCATACATTTCCAGAATATATATCAGACACATTTTTAATTTTCACCATGGTTTTTTTTTTTTTTAGGAGTAAAATGTTGCATAAAGCAGCGTCGAATTAAATACAGACAAGCCTTCAGAATACAGAGAGGAATAAAACTGGGTGTTTGTGAGAGAGAAAACTCTTTAAAGATATGGATTGAGATAATAGATAGAAGTGCAATAAAATAAACACTTAAATGTGTGTTTTGGAGGTTTTTGTTCCACTAGTCCGAATCAACATGTTATGAAAAGCCAAGCAGCCCAAAAACTCAAAATTGACCAATGAATTAAAAAATATATGTTTTGCTAGTAATGTAAAAACATCATAAGCAATCCAGACCACTCCAGTCCATCAGATAACATCTTGAGATGCCAGAAGCTGTGTGTTTGTAAGAAACATCGTTGCTATGCATGATGTCATCAAGCTTATTAACTATGCACACAGTGATTGGCTGATAGTCTCTGTCAGAGATTCATTCATAGAAATATTGTAGAGCGCGATATTATATTGCCATATTCAAATAAAGGTTTTAAAATGCAGGTTGTCACTAATTAAACAAGTATATGTTCAGCCTGTGTGCTTCTCATAATTAGTGGATATGCATCTAAACAGCCTTTTAATTAACAGAGCAGAATAATCATGGCTGATAGTAAGACGTGCAAACGTAAAAGAAAAGCAAGCAGCTGTTACTTCTTGCCCAGCTGGGTTATGAAAACAAGGATATCATTTAGAGTCGGGATAACCTCCAAAACCAAAGGCGATACCTTTATTAAAGCTCGTTATCAAATGTTTCTAAAATGTTAGATTGCCGGAAACAGCTATTTTAGGAGAGCTTGTGGTTTAGGACTCTCTTCACTGCTCCTAACCTTTCACAGATTTAGGAGCTAGTTTTAGAGCTAAAACACTTTGTGAAACACTCTTAGAGCGAACATTTAGGACTGACACGCACATTATTTTTAAGATTTTCTCTTAAACCAGCGAGTTATGAGCTACTTTAAGCCTTAAAGGGTTAATTCACCCCAAAATGATAATTCTGTCATTAATTACTCACCCTCATGTCGTTCCAAACCCGAAAGCTTATTTATTCAGCTTTCAGATGTTGTATAAATCTCAATTTTTAAAAAATGGACCCTTATGACTGGTTTTGTGCTCCAAAGTCACATATATTTATCATTGCCTAGAATTAAGAATTTGCTCCCACAACTTATTAACTTGCTCTCTCGTTATAGTAAATCATGGCTAGGTTGTACTAATTTGATTTATTTAAAACATAGCCATGATTTATTAGAACAAGGGAACAAATTAGTATGATGTGGCCTCAATTTATTAAAACGAGTGAATTAGCTAGTACAACACAACCTAAATTTACTAAAATTGAAGGAACAAATTTGTACAACATACAATATTTCAAAACTTTCCTATTACGTTTAACGTTCAGAATCACTATAAGTGTTCATAGGTTCACAGAATGTAACATTTAAAACATTGATCAGCACAACATGTCAACGTCTGACTCAATCATCCAGTGGAGTGAGTTTGGGGCGGGGCTATCTGTTTGAGTGACCAATGGCAGACAGGAGGCGTGTTCGGGAAACATGTTTGGCAACAGTCATTATTTTTGCAGATCAGTCTGATGACAGACGATATATCTAGGGTATTACTATGTCATAAAGGCTAAGTTTTCATATTATATGTAGGTAGTGCTGATAGTATTTGTTTCTTATCTCTGTTTTGTTTGGTTCTGGTTTATTGTTTGTGTTGTTGTTTTGAAAATTGAAAAAAAAGAGAGAGAAAAGAAATGACAGAAGATATCTACAGACCCATCAGATGCATTATTGCTCCTAAATGAGTGACATTTACTGCAAAAACAGACTGAAGAATCGTCTTTTGCTCTGAACAATAAATACGCACTAAAAATTTGATTTTGACTCCGTTACACAAAACCATATCAAAGTATATTTATGGCTGTTGCGCTGTGGTTTAGTTACTCCAGGAGTCTCAAAATCATTCTGACAGACCAAAAATTACAAACACATTCTTCAGCTGTTAAACTAACTAGACACTTGATCCAGTGGTAACAACGTAACACACAGAAGTCTTACTAATTATTTTATAAACGCCACCAATACTGAATGTCCATCTACTAAGTTAACAAATATAACCATATAAATACCATGCACATGTAATCCATTCGTTCTGTGGTCTATATACAGTGTCTATACTATAACTGAGCCATGGTATAACCTCCACTGTACTTTTAGCATGGATAATGAGTATTTAGAACAGCAGGGCTGCATTATATGTCTCAGATATCATGTATAATGTGTGAGTGAAGCTCTGTCTCAGCAGGAACCGTATAAACATTCACAAACACTGCTGTCACTGTTTACACACGCGGAGTGTTGTTGTTGTGTTTCATTTAGTGATTGTGGCGAACGACGCCATTAAACTCCCTCGTGAGAAAACAAGCGACAGCGAATATCTGTCATAATAAAACCTGCCAATCCTCACCAGCTCGCGCGGCCCTCGGCACCTCCTTCCCACGCTCTCATACTCGAAACAGAAACAGAAGCGAACGCTCGCGGTGTCAACTTGCTACAATGTTTCAAAACACTTCCGGATTTCAAATAACAGAGGAAATCCCGCCCACGGGTCCAGATGAGAGCGGCCGCTCATTGGCCAGATTATCTGTCTGTGAGGACACGATGGCCAATCATTTGGGAACTCTTTAAATACGGCTATAGCGTTTGTAAACACGCTTAATGCGAATGCATAAATACTTGCACTGTAACAGAGCGGACTCTAAATCTTACGTTGTTTTGTTAACCATCAACAAGCGGGTTTGTTTTGGACACCGGCAAACTTTCGCAAACGAGTGTTTATGAATCTGTCCAAATCATCTACACGCCTTCCAGCCAAAAAACAAACTCGCTTTTGCAGCGTCGTGAGTTAAGACTCGTTTCAGCGAGTCGGTTCGGATGATTCATTCCAATGAAGCGCGATACTATGGAGGGCGAAACCTGCAAAAACAATAAATAAATAAATACACAAATAAATAAATACATGTCTGCATGAATACACAAATTCTTGTTTAAATACATATATAAATAATTTATAAATATAATAAAAAATAATTTTTAATAAATATAAAAAATCGAAAAGGTGTGCATTATAACCGAGAACTACATGACCACTTCACAGTTGGTTGTGTTGCTGTAAGTAATTTTCCTCAGATGCTATTGAAGTTTGAAAAGTGTAAAAGTTGAAAGTGTATACCAATGTTGTATGTAACTTTAGAGACGGCCCCTAGATTTGCGAACATCGAATGCCGGGAAATGACACCTCTGGCCATTCCACTGGGTCGTTTGTAAAGTCACAGATACTGTACGGACAATACGGCTAAACTGTTCTATGTATCTTGCTATGTTTGAACGGCAAAAGTGACTTTACTAGGCTATACTGGATTAACAGCATGCATCTCCTGTCAGCGGGAAAGCCACGCCCCCAGCTATCACAAGACCCGAGCAAGTCCATAGTTGACACCCTCTCATTAGCATGTTGTGCAGAGGAAAAATAAATGCGGAACTACATTCAGAAATAAATGAGTGCTCAAAGGAAAATAAATAGGATGAGTTTAGCATTTCCTTAAACATTTTCCATCTGCCCACCAATTAATTGTATTTATTTGCCTACTTTAATCACATGTTTACTTATTTCTATATGTATTTAAATAAGAATTTGTGTGTTTATACACACATTTATTTATTTATTTGTGTATTTATTTATTTATTGTTTTAGCAGGTTTCGTCCTCCATATGTGTGCGGTGAGTCGGTTCGTATGATTCATTCACTCCAATAAACCGCGAAACAATTGTCATTATCCAGGAATAGCCTGATAATAATAACTATTACCACCTGGCAGTTTTACTTGTGAAAAAAATCACGAGTCAAAAGTCAGAATCGTTTATATAGCGTTTTTCTTGTGCGTTCATTTGAACGAATCGGTTCGTATGATTCATTCCAATGAACCGCGACATAATTCTTTTTCATAATAAATATGACTATTTGTCATTACTAGTGTCCAGGAATAATATTCCCAAGCAGAAATAAAGCCATGAATCCCTGTGTATGGGCGGGTTCGTCCGTGATCCAGCAGGAATGGGCGTAATTACACTTCCTAAAATAACTCTGCTTGAAGTGAACGCAATGGCTGCAGTGATAACACGACAGATCGTTCACAGCAAAGGCGCTTCACACGATCTCTGCATCTCTGATCTCAGCGACTGTCTGATATTTGATCGGCACGGGCTCTCTAAAACCTTCAACAGTTTGTTTCAACACAACAAAGCCATCATTGTGTTCGTGAGGGTAAGAGTCACGTTGCATCCCGAGAGTTTTAGATCATCTGGCTTGACTTTGCATGCCATAACATTTGCCTTTTCTTTATATTATGTGATGTAATATGTTATTTTCTGTATGTGATCTGTCTTATCCAAGTTTGTGATCATCATGCATGATTTTATCTTATCTACAAAGTATCAAAGCACTATGTAACTTTTTTTCTGTGTTCAAAATTTGCTGAATGTATATAATGAGCGAGTACACCATGCATTCATCTTCCAAACAGCGTTTGTGTCTTATTCTGAATCACTCCGGTACACTTATAATAAGTGCTTATATTCGGACTATTGCAGCCTGGTCACCGCTGCGGAGGAACACACACCTGCGTGAACCGCCATAGACATACACTTAGAGAAGTAGATCCGGTCGGAATGTTCTTCCGCGGGATGTGTGCAGCTCTGTTTATTAACCGCTAGAGCGCCATAAGTTAGTTAGTGCTGCTTTAAAAAAAAAGAGAGATACTGTGACCTTTTTATATCTAATTCTAAATTATTTTTAATTTTATTTTTTTAGCATTCAGTGTTTGTCTAGTTATGCTTTTCTTGTACACTGCAAGAAATATTCTTCAAACAAGGCTATATTATGTATATTCCGGATAATAACATTGTTTTCTCTTTTTATACTTATTTTTTATTGCATTCTATTCCAATTCTATCTATAGCACACCTGTACATACCATTTATTCTTTGTGGTTTATTTCTATTTATGCATGTGTATTTTCTTTACATCTTATTATCTGTGTGTTGTTGTGTCTGTGTACCGGAAGCTAAAAACAATACTTTGCGATAACGCGCTTTCTGACTTCTAATATTTTACAGAACTTCTTGTGCTACACATGCAAAGAATATGTGGAGGATCTGGGCAAAATACCTCAGCAAATGTTGCAGGTGAAAGGATGATATTAGGAAAATGCTGTTTTGTCAGTAATGTAATATTTGGTTGAATATATTAATATGAAGTCAGAATATGTTCAATGTGTGTGAAAAAAGGAACAACGTATTTTTTCCTTCTCTCACAAATGTAGGAGTCGAATGTCAGATTAGTGGTGATTGGACAGTCGTCGTGGTGTCATATAGAGGTAGGATGGGTTTATTAATATACAGTTCAAATATGAAAGGTTTGAAAACTTAGTCAAAGAGAAAACTGTTGCTTGATAATAATAAAAATAGAATAATAAGAAAAAATGGTTTCTAGATTTTTTAAATTCACAGTTCGTACTTTTTTTCCCCTCCCAATTCTTAATTTTCTTTAATCTTGCACTTTTGTTTTTTCTTGATGAATCAAAAATTGAAAAAAACGTACGTACACAACGTTTCTGAATTTCAGTGGCGTTCCGAACGCTTCGAATCACTTAGTGAATCATGTCGGTTCAATTGAATCGAAGCTTCGAAAAGATTCGTTTCTGCCATCGCTACATTTTATCTCGCAGTTCCTATTTTACAACTCACAGATTCTGACTTTTTATTTCAGAATTCTGAGTCTGATAAACTAAGAATTGCGAGGAAAAATGTCCTTAACTGTGAGAGAGAGAAATGTGCAATTACCTTTTCAATTTTATTTTAATCTGTTACTTGCAGAAGTGAGCTTCCATAGTTGTTAACTTTTACCAGTTTGAAAAACATATGAGCAAGATAAATATAACATGCAACAGTGTGTCAAGTAGTTGTGATTCCAGCTGGTTCAAGTTTGAGCAACTGCACTAAATTTGCATTGTTTCAGAGCTCGTATTAAAAGTATTAATACGATTATTATACGGTATTGCTTGAGGAAATTTATATTTTAGGCCATGCATTTGACTCCGTTTTCTAAACCAAGCTAGCACTAGAAAAGAAATGGAGTTGCACTAAAGCTGAGCGTGCTCGCACCTTGAGAACATTGTTTTAGTAATGATTGTTTAATGCTACAAAACCACTCCAGATTGTCTTGCATTCTGTGATCTCTTTATGTTGCAGGCTTTCTGCTCCCTGACAGGCTATTCTCATGAAATATATGTTGATCCGGAGAGACAAATTTACAAAAAGCTTGGAATGAGAAGAGGAGAGACATACATGGAGACACGTATTGTGCTTGATTTAGTCGCTTCGTGTGTTAAATGTCAAATATAGTTGCTCTGGAGCAAGAGTGTGCGATTGTTGTAGAATTCCGTAATGTTCTTTCTTCAATCTTAAATTGACTTCCTAAAATAGATGCATGGAAAATAAAGCGTATTTTGTCATTGTAGACACTTCTCCTGCTTTTGTTTTGGATGTGAACGCCGAAGAATGACGTGTTTGATTGAATGTGCGTTTGTAGCTTGCAGCAGTCCACATGTGAAATCGGGTGTGCTGCTCGGGAGTCTGAGGAGCTTGTGGCGCGCCGTCACCAGCCCTGTGTTTGACTTCCAGGGAGATCCGCTGCAGCAAGGCGGCGCTCTGATCGCAGGCCCAGGTCACACGCTTTCCCATTCCACTTCTACTTCCATATCTTGACTTGATCTGAACGCTTTGTGTTTTATTTTCCAGCTCCAGAGGTTCATTTTGCCCATTTTGACATGAACCGGCTGGACCACATGCCTATCAACTGGTTGCTTCAGTTAGCAGGCCTTCAAACGCTGGACTTCAGCGAGGCGCACAAAATCATTGATATCTGAAGAGAAAGGAGCTGTTAAGCCATGATGGAACTGCGCTCGATGCTTGTAGCTCTTATAATGCAATGCTGGTCTTTGTTTCAACTCTATAATGACTCACTATTGTTGTTGTTGTTGTATATAGTATTGTTTTTATATATTATTTATGTTTGATAGGAACAAGCCATTCCACTGCTAGTGACCCTTGATTATATTTGTTACATTACAAAAAATTATATATATATATACATATATATATACATACACACTGCTGTGCAGAAATTCAGCGCTGCATCACAGAAATATATTATATTTTAAAGGATATTAAAATAGAAACCAGTATTTTATATTCTAATAACATTTTGCATTTTTTTCAGTATTTTTGATCCAATAAATGCAGCCTTGATGAGCAGAAGAGACTTCTTTAAAAACATTACAAGTCTTACTGATCCCACACTTCTGAACAGCAGTATATATATATATATAAACATCAAAAATTCTCCAGAAACACATGATCATATTGAGTGCAGTATAAAAGTTTCATCCTCAAGAAATGTATTTTACATTAAGAAAATGAAGAAAATTATAGGACAATTAAGATGTTTTTTTAATTATAATTTGTTTAAATAATAATAGTCTGTAAAACAGTAAAAAAAAAAAAGTTTTATAATAAATACTTATATGAATTAAAGACTATACAGCAAATGCTGGCATTATGTGTAAATACTTTACAATTATTTTTTTTATATTTTATTTGTTTATTATTAATCATTTTTTTGCATGCATGCATTACAGCCATTAGAACACTTTTTTTTAAATTATATAATACAAAGAAAACAGATAGAATAGAAAGAGAATAAACTAATAAGCTAAACTAATTGTAAAATATATCAAACAAATAGAATACAATACAAAACAATTACATAGAATTATACAACGATAATTACCACTGTGCAGAAATACTTCACAATTTAAATAATATATTTTAACGTTACAGTAATGTAAAACACACGTGTTCTGAACATGCAAACAATGCAATTAATCTTAAAACCAATTAGTTTCTCGCTTTCGGGAGTTCCGCAAGTGCCCGGATGTTGTGGCGCCGTGACGTCACACGCAAGGCTGTTAGAATCTCGCCTTCTCTACGTCACCGGCAGGACAACTGGCTCAAATATACAGCCGTTAGGAGCCGGACTATGCCAACTAACGCGCCAATCCTACTTCTATCGCACGTTCGCGTCTGAAACGCCGTGTTTTCACGCGTAGGGAGGCATGAAGCGCAAGAGCGAGCGACGGAGCGAGTCGAGGAAGAGACTCCGCGCGTCTCTGAGGGAGCAGACGGAGTCCAAGAGCGATATTTACCTTCGTATCACAGGTAAACTAACTACAGACGCGACTTTAACGCGTTAAACCGCCGTGAAGGACCGTCATACGGGTCCTCTCAGGGGTTCGTTTGGCGGTTTATAGCACTGGATGGTCGCTTTAACACGAAACATGAGTGCACAACACAAACTAAGTGCTGTTTATGTCGAGATTAGCGCTGATTATACGTCAGGGTGACTCTAAAATGGCATTATTGGCTACTAGTGGAGACGGAACGGGTTTCTTTGTTCTGTTCGCTAGATGTAAATCATCGAAAACGGATCAAAGCGTTCAGTCAGAGCAAAATGAGATTCTATTGGCTGATCGGCGCGTCTCTCCTAGCAACGGCTTGGGCAGCGTGCCAATTAGAGTCGAATACTGCCTGCTGTTCGATTTAAATCTTGGGGGGAGGGGCTTAGTGTGATTGACATGTCAGTGTTGCGACCGTCAGCCAATCAGGCGGCGGGAAGCGGTTTAACGTCGCGTTGGATTTAAATCCTGGAGGGGGAGGGGCTTAGTGTGATTGACGTGTGTGTTGCGACCGTCAGCCAATCAGGCGGCGGGAAGCGGTTTAACGTCGCGTTGGATTTAAACTGCGCTGAACTTTATTCAGACTTCAGGCGAGAGAACGATCGCGCGTGTCGTGTGGCGTTATTTTATATACACAACTTAAACGGATAGTTTTTTTATTTATTTAATTTTTTTTTAAATGCCGGTTTTATTGTATAAAAATAATAAAATTGTTAGTTTACGTTTTGTTTTGTAAAAATACAAATCATAAATTGTCGACGGATTAGTAAAATAACTTAAACCAAGGTTAAATAATGCTCCGGAACAACGTTACAATAGAAACGTGCGATCTGTCGGGCTGCATCGAGTTCATTAAAGGTGAGTGTCATATTTCTGTGTTTTCTTCTTAATGGTGCGCATATGTTGTTGTTGTTGTTGTTGTCTCGCGCTTTGTCTGAGAACTCACTTCCGGTACGCGGATTCAAATCTGTTGATTCAAATACATTGACCGCGTGAAATCTGCCGGAAGTGCAGTCATCGTGAGGGATTACAGTATAGTTTTGTGTCTTGTGTTTTTCAGATCAGCTGTATTTTGCTCTTCTTCATCAGAAGGTGAAGAGCACTCCTGACAGACACTGTTTCTGCATCGATGAAGAGCTTTCCTATGAGAAGTAAGAGTGTAATTGTGCATTACTAATGAAATACTGTCAAATGATTGGGCACATTAATGCATTAAATATTATAAAGTGTCATATTTGATACATGTAAGGCCTCTAAATGGTCAACATCAATCATCAGTGGATTGCATTGCAATCTGGTCTTACTAAGACATGTTATTGGAGATATAGAGTGGCGTTTATATCATTTTATGCTGCTGTACTGATAAAGATCTCATAGATTTACGTTTACATTATCGTATAAATATCAGCAATTGCATATTTTTGCTCCGTTTGAGTCTCTGAATAAAACTGAGCCTCTATATTCTCACTGTATCAAATTATATGAGCCGTAAACGCCTGATGGATTAAATATTATAAAACACATTTTGTCTAAAGGTTCAGTATTAAGTGTATTTAGTGTTTTCTTCCCCCCCGTAGGACAGTCTGTTAAATATGCATATGGTTTTTATGGATTGCACCAGACCTTTATCAATGACCTCTTCGGTTTTTATGTTTGTACAGCTTCTATGCGGACTTTGGCCCGCTCAACCTTGCCATGTTTTATCGCTTCTGTTGCAAACTCAACAAAAAGCTGAAGGTAATGACGCTTCATTACTCTGACTGTTCTAATAAATACAGTCTGCATGCATGCATGCATTGCATGTTGTTGTTTATTATTATTTAAATGTTTGGTTTTGGTATGCAAGATGTGTTGTTTTTAAATTTGTGCTCTTCTAACTCTAACAGTCTTGTGCTCTTGCAAAGAAGACGATTGTGTTTTATACCTGTGGTGACAGAAAGAAACAAGCCAATGCTGCGTATTTGATCGGCTCTTATGCTGTAAGTTTTTCCAGTCCAGCTTTTTTTAGCCTAAAGGCTTCGCTTTCACGAAGGTGCAGCCTGATGGAGTGCTCAGATATATTTCTAATGGTTTTGCATGTATGTGCATGAGCTTTGCATCTAGTTCTTCCTTCTTGTTTGTCCTCTTTTGTAGGTAATGCATCTACAGAAAACGCCAGAAGAAGCGTACAGCCTTCTGGTCTCTCAAAATGCGTCTTATCTTCCTTTTCGGTAATTGAAATGTATCCCCTACGTGCATTTTATGAGCCTTTTAAATCGGAAGCAATCTCATTTTCCGTTTCTAGATTTCTGTTCGTCTCCGACTTAATTTTTCATTGCATTCAACAGAGATGCATCTTTTGGAGCATGCATGTACAACCTGAATATCCTTGACTGTCTGCTGGCCGTTCACAAGGTAATCCAGAGTCTCTGTGAAGCTTCGTCTGGCGCGTTTGCCGGTCCACTATTTCTGTTGATCGCATGTTGTGTGTTTCAGGCTCTGCAGTTCGGCTGGCTGGATTTCTCAAAGTTTAATGTGGAAGAATATGAACATTATGAGGTGAGTTTTCCATGATATATACCTTTTTCTTGGCGTAAAAATGGGCGTGGCTCTAGCGTCCCATTTTTAGTTGTACAAAACCGCTCGTTTTGCTGCTTAATATTGAAAATGGGTGAGTCTTACCATATTATTTTAATATATTATCTTAATTATGAACACACTGGTTTGTAGTGCAAACAGTTTTAGCGTTTACTGCACGTTGTTATTCTTCTCGTTATTTCCCTATGAACCGGAAGTCTACTGTCTTTTAAGATATGTCAGAGCAAGATATTTTCAATTGAGACGGCTCAAACATGCATTTTAGTCTGGGACTAGCCTTAAAGGGGTCATAGGATGCTACATGCACTTTTAGAAGTTGTTTAAACTGAAATGTGTGTTGGCAGTGTGTGTACACAGGATTATGTTTGTTTCTGAAGGGAATGCGCCCCGATCTACATAAATGCGTCTATGTTCGTGCGAATCATTCGTGATCCAGCCTCACCTACAGAAGAAGCGAGTATTATGTTTTGTAATGAATCTTTGCAAATCGCCTTTCCTAATAATGTGCTAATTAGCAAGTTTCACGATGAATGCGGCTGAAGTAAACGGTCTCTCTGAGAGCAGCTCGGAAGAGAGGGGCGGGGCCAGCAGAGCTCATTAACATTTAAAGGAAAATGCTACAAAACGGCTTGCTCTAAAAAGAGCTGTTTTTGATAGGGTAAAAAGGTGTTTTTACACTACCGTTGAGAAATTTTAACCAAACTATGTTACAGACTTTTCATCAAGACCCTAAAGAATCATATCAACTTGTGGAAAATGGGCATCCTATGACCCCTTTAAGCCTTGTCTGTGAAACCGGGGGAAAGAGTTTAGCCACACACTGACTGACTCGATGATGCTTTAATGTCTTTTCCAGCGGGCAGAAAATGGAGATTTCAACTGGATAATTCCAGGGAAGTTTTTGGCTTTCAGCGGCCCTCATCCAAAGAGCAAAATTGAGAATGGTGCATATGGTTTGGCTTGTTCACACATTATACCAATGCTTTGACTTTAGTCTGAGATGAGAGCTGAAATTATGTACAGATTTATATACATTACTTCTTCTTTTTTTCCCCCTTCAGGATACCCTCTTCATGCCCCTGAAGCGTATTTCCCCTACTTCAGGAAGCATAACATCACCACCATCATCCGGCTCAACAAGAAAATGTATGAAGCCAAGCGTTTCACAGACATGGGCTTCAAGCACCACGACCTGTTCTTTGTAGACGGCAGTACGCCCAACGACGCCATCGTCACCAAGTTCCTGAACATCTGTGAGAATGCTGACGGAGGCATTGCTGTCCACTGCAAAGGTTCGGGTTTTTCAAGCCTAAAATAGTCACGTGAAGACGTCATATCTTGAAAGATGTGCTTACGTTACTCAGGCCTGCACAAAATCTTTCCGGTGTTGTTGTTTACTGATTTTGCATGTTTTCTCACCTACGTATGTTAAAGTTTTACATATGTGACCCTGGACCACAGTCATAAGCGTGAGGTTTTTTTTTAAATTGAGATTTATACATCATCAATTAATAAGCTTTGCATTGATGTATGGTTTGTTAGGATAGCACAATATTTGAAAATCTGGAATCTGAGGGTGCAAAAAAATCTAAATATTGAGAAAATCATCTTTAAAGTTGTTCAAATGAAGTTCTTAGCAATGCATATTACTAATCAAACATTAAGTTTTGATATATTTACGGTAGGACATTTACTAAATATCTTCATGGAACATGATCTTTACTTAATATCCTAATGATTTTTGGCATAAAAGAGAAATGTATAATTGTGACCCATACAATGTATTGTTGGCTATTGCTACAAATATCCCCCAGCGACTTAACACTGCTTTTGTGCTGCAGGGTCACATTTATTAATTTAGCATACACATTTATCCAGAAGGGACTTAGAAATGACCAAAAAACCCATATCGGTCGGGCTCTAATGTATATTTCATTAATGAAAAACAGTATCACACATAACAGTACAACTGTATTTAACATTGATAATAATAAATATTTCTTGAACACGAAATCAGATTTCTGAATGATCTTGTGACACTGAAGACTGGTGTAATGATGCTAAAAATTCAGCTTAGCATCATGGGAATAAATGACATTAAAATAGAAAGCAGTTATTTATTTTAAAAAGAAATTATGGATCCCAAAGTGTCATTCTGTTTAATGTGTAGTGTGAATTATGCTGTCAGTGTCTACATTCTGTGTCTGACACTATCATTGTTTCTCAGGTGCTTTCTGTGTGTGTGGAGGAAGAAAACATCATCCCTTACATAACTAACGTGCTGCAGAACCCTGATCTGGCCCTCAGGATGGCCGTCCGCAACAACTTGGCAGGTGCAGAGGAGCTCTTCGCCCGCAAATTCAACAACCTATTTGCTGGTGGCAACTACTCTGAAGCTGCCAAAGTGGCTGCCAATGCACCAAAGGTACAGCAGACTGCATCACACGACCTGACACCTCATTAGTCATTGTCAGGCAAATGTTGGGGTTTCTGATTGGCTGTTGGCTTCTTGCAGGGCATCCTGCGCACGTCAGACACCATCCGTCGGTTCCAGAGTGTTCCTGCCCAGCCCGGTCAGACGTCTCCCCTGCTGCAGTACTTTGGGATTCTGCTGGATCAGGGCCAGCTGAACAAGTTTGAGTCATTGGAGCTTTGCAGGCCCGTCCTGCAGCAAGGCCGCAAACAGCTCCTGGAGAAATGGCTAAAGGAAGACAAGGTATATCCTCTTCTGAATAAATATGTGACCCAAAGTTGTATTAAATTCAAATTACTTTATTGGCAATTGGCAAATAACAAAGCATCAATATAACAAAAGAGATAGATGGATAGATAGAAATAAAAAACTGCTAGTAATGATAATGGAAAATAACCAATAATAGTATGAAATAAAATGGACATGCTCTAGGTTTTGTAAAGCCATGGAAACTAGGAAATATCAGAGCATTATAATATTGTGTTTTTCAAGTATGGACAAAAAAATGGAAATTAATTGAGATGCACAGATTGCAATTTTCCTGGCAGATTCGGATTTCTGATTTTTTTAAAAAAGTGTGACCTGCTGATACTGATTTTTGCCGATTCTGGTTTTCTTTGAAGAACTGTAATTGACAGCATATACAAATAAAAATTTGTTTTAATGAATGAGACATTTAGTCATTCATTCAACTGATTCGTTCAAACGGCTGATTCATTCAGAAACAAAGCAAGTGACTCTTTATGAATGAGTCACTGAATCATTGACTCACTTGATTCAATAACAAATCACAGCTGTGTTGATTTATTAGAGACGCTCAACAGTTCTGCAGTTGCTTTGATTGGAACCATTTTAGTTTGCAAAATTACGCAAAAACGGACAATGTTGACATTCAACTGATTCGTTCAAACGGCTGATTCATTCAGAAACAAAGCAAGTGACTCTTTATGAATGAGTCACTGAATCATTGACTCACTTGATTCAATAACAAATCACAGCTGTGTTGATTTATTAGAGACGCTCAACAGTTCTGCAGTTGCTTTGATTGGAACCATTTTAGTTTGCAAAATTACGCAAAAACGGACAATGTTGACTTGTCTAAAATTGAACAGTATTAACTTGTTTATTGAACTGCTGTATAAAATCAATATCTCAGTTGCATTCGTGCAGATATTGGGGCAAAAACAGCACTCCTGCTGGTGTGATATTGCTAAACTATATCATATGATATAAATATCAGAGGCTAATTTATCTTTCGCGCTCATATCTTGAATTTTAGGCTTATATAACTGCATTCTAATCACGCAATCAGTCGTTCTGCATCATCAGAAACTGCATCCGTGTAAGATGACAGACAGGTCTTGATGGGGCGCTGCGTTAAATGCGTTAATTATTACAACACGTTAAATTGACAGCCATTCTGCATAAATCCACTTATAATTGTTGCATTAATTGTATTGCCTGATTCAGCAAATCCACCTCAGTTCATCAGTGGATATGGTTGAGGTTCAGTTTTCCAGTGACATGAAGTAGAGATGCTAACAGGCCAAACCACCGTGTGTTTCAGCCGGTCTGGGCCGAACCGGGACACTGATTGGCTGTTATATGATGAAACACTTCAGACTGACTGCAGCTGAAGCCATCGCATGGATCAGGATCTGCAGACCCGGTTCAATCATCGGACCTCAGCAGAACTTCATCGATGAGTGAGTCTTCCACACGCACTTTGATTCAAAGCAATGTATCTGTGTGCCAATCTGCGTTAGGGATGGGCTATATAGGCTTTAAAATATATCACGATAATTCCTGATATTTATTGCGATAATGATATCAATGATGATAATTCAGGGAATCCTGTTTCTTTAGAGAAAAGTATTATCTTTCCTATTTTTACCCAAAATAGTGTTGTCAGCATTACTGAGTACACACACGTAATGTAATGACTGTTTAAATCATACTGGAAGCCGGAGGGCGCTCTTGCGCAGAAACTCCACACATGCATCACAGAAGTAATAGCGCTGAAGCTCCAGGAAATCCCTAATATGGACAAAGGTATCAGTTATCTCTGAATAAAACACACATCGGAGATAGAAATTTTAACTGATGAAACATGAAGACAATAAACATACGATTGCACAAAATATATGGTTTATCTGTGTTCTTCAAGCAATCTTGGGTATTTTTTTTTATAAGGAAAGTATATTTATATAGCCTTTATCACTGTATATAATACTGTAATTCTGTAATATAAAACTACGTCTGGTCACAAAAAGAAGTTAATTCAAACACTTGACTTAAGTTAATTTGGAGAAAAAGCATGTCAATAAATGATATCTTTGCTGGACAACAGGTTTGTAAACGGGCTCATACACATGCAAAACTGTATTGCACACATGCTACTGTGCACAAAAAATCGGTCTGAATAAATGTAGTACTGTACAGCCCTAACCAAACTAGTTCCCGATCGTAAAAGGAGCTCAAGCTCCTCATTTAGCGATAAACTCCTCCTCAATTTCATGTCCGCCTTCCGCGATGTCTTGCACAGAAATGTCAACAACTAGACTTCATCGTTATTATCGCAGGAAGACTAATTCTTATCGCAAACAAGATATCGCCCATCCCTAATCTGCATGGGCTTTTCTGATTTTTAGAAGCCCTAATACTAATTAATACATGCCTTAATGTTACAGGAAGCAGGCGAGTCTGTGGGCAGAAGGTGATTTGTACCGGCAAAACATAAATGAGCAGGAAAACGGCTCGAGTAAAACGGCAGTGGCTGGAATCCTGTCTGGAGTGGAAGATATTTCCATTAATGGTACAAACAAGAACATCTCACAGAGGAAAACGGCCTCTGAAATGGTGAGTAAATCTATTTATTCTGGCACATCCCAGTTTAGGTGTCTGTTTTGCCTAACAGCATAATGTTTAGTGCACTTTGCTGAATTATATGGCCAAGAACTGCCCACTTAGATGCAAAACAGATGTTTTTGTTTTTACGATTGTTAACCAGGTTGTGTTTTTCATTGGTTAGCACACGGAGGAAGAGGAGTGCGGAGGACTCACACAAGGCGACAAACTGAGAGCTCTGAAGAGTAAGAGGCAGTCCAGAGCATCCACGGGTTCAATATCGTAAGTTTTTCTCCGTTACGTCACTCTTCTGTCCATCCTGATACATGTAGCCATCGAGGCCTGACGGTACAAGTCCACTAGTGTGGAAGAAATCTGCTCCTGACCCTTAATTACAGTCTGTGATTGAATTCAATACACAGTTAATAAAGTCATGTTTTTATCATGATTTCAGAATTATATTTATTTTTGCAATTATTTCAGAAAAATGCTTACTAGCCTTTATTTCACATTCCCAAGTTTAAATGCGACCCTGGAGTACAAAACCAGTCATTAGGGTAAATTTCTCGAAATTGAGATTTATGCATCATCTGAAAGCTGAATAAATAAGCTTTCCATTGATGTATGGTTTGTTAGGATCGGACAATATTTGGAAATCTGGAATCTGAGGGTGCAAAAAAATCTAAATATTGAGAAAATCATCTTTAAAGTTGTTCAAATGAAGTTCTTAGCAATGCATATTACTAATCAAAAATTAAGTTTTGATATATTTACGGTAGGACATTTACTAAATATCTTCATGGAACATGATCTTTACTTAATATCCTAATGATTTTTGGCATAAAAGAGAAATGTATAATTGTGACCCATACAATGTATTGTTGGCTATTGCTACAAATATCCCCCAGCGACTTAACACTGCTTTTGTGCTGCAGGGACACAAATAATAATTTATTAGACTTTTGTGATCTTTGTTTTTTGCAAACTGCGTTTGAAATCTGAATTCAAGATGATGTAGCAAATTAACACAATTTTAAGCCTGACATATGAAATAATTTTTTGAATGTAACCGTTTATTGAACCTTTGAAAAAATCTGAAAATATAGTCTGAAATAGTGAGAACATTGAGGAAAAAACAGCTCAATTTTATTCAGACTCAAACGGAGCAAAAATATGAATTTGCTGCAGATGCTGATATTTTTATGATGAAATTCTGCTGCTGCTTGTAATGTAAATCAAATGAAGAAATAAAGGCTCCTCAGAAGATGTGAGATGTTCTGGAGGCTTGTGAAGATCATTCCTCCGCTGAGGAACACTGAAAGTAAAGCTTCTGGAAACAAACGCTCCTCAAAAGATCCTGAGGATCAGATTTGAGACTCTAAAAAATGATTGATGGAGAATCAAGTAAAGCTGAGCTGCTTCAGTCCAGTAAGTGTTCATCTGGAGATATTACTGCACTTATTCTGACGCTTACTGACGTAAAAAAATAAAAGCTGAAGCTGGATGTTTGTACAATTACACTAAAAGAGTCTAAACTATCAATCAGACGTTTGGCTCATGCTCATCATTTAGAGGCTCATTTAGTAGCTCTATAGGGTTAAGAACTAAATCCGCCAGCACTTAAAATAAACATTACAACAGTCTGCACACCAGTGGACGTGTACCGTATGGAGAGAGTAGCACGTTAGACACTCATCCAGTCGGATCTCATGCATATGTAGTGGTTTTCTCGTGATGATGGATGTTTAAGTGTGTGCATGATATGTTAGACTAACTGCATGAGTTAAAAACATCAGTCTTCCTGTTAATGATTGTGCCGGCGAGACGAGAGACTCCAAAAGCCTTTTATCACACGGCAGGCGAATGGTAGTAAAGTGCTGCAGTTTGCTGGGCTCGCTGTGGCCCGGCTGTTGTGTGCCGTTGAAATGGTAGCAGAATGACGGGGCGTGAGAGAGACACCCGTCAGGTAAGTCCTGTGACGCCATCATGTGCGAATATGCGGCTGCTGCAGGGCTTCATTTCATCTCTCGCCTTTTGTTTTCAACATTTAGACTCATTCTGCTTCCCCAGCGTTTATTTTTTTTCAAAGCCAAGACTCTTTTTGGATAGTGCATGGATTCAAACTCCTCACCTTTCAGAGACAACTCACTTTTTTGAGATCAAAATAGGTCACCTGTGAGATTTGCTTGGATCCAATGAGAAAGTGTTTTTATTGGGGGGGGGGGGTCTTACAAGGGTAAATAAAGAGCATGGGGCCAGTTGCATAAACTGTTTAGACTAGTCTTAAAAAGTTAGTTATCTAATTTTTTTCCTTTTTCTTCAAGACTGGTCATAACTTTTTTTAATTCAGTTATGAAAAGGTAGATTATATATATGTATTGTATTGGTATTTATATATGTATTGGAAAAGTAAGACATGGGGCCAGTTGCATAAACTGTTTAGACTAGTCTTAAAAAGTTAGTTATCTAATTTTTTTCCTTTTTCTTCAAGACTGGTCATAACTTTTTTTTAATTCAGTTATGAAAAGGTAGATTATATATGTATTGTATTGGTATTTATATATGTATTGGAAAAGTAAGACTGATTTTCTCTTGGCTACTGCTAGTTGGTTAAACTAGTTCTTAAGACACAAGGTGCATCCCAAATCGCGTACTCCTGCACTATTCTATAACGTTTTGTAGTATAAATAGTGCGAGTAGTGCATTCACACTGAAAATTAATAAAATTCAGAAGTGTGAAATTTTGGACACTTCATGCATTCAAGTGTCTCAGCTTTAAAGGGATAGTTCACCCAAAAATGAAAATGTGATGTTTATCTGCTTACCCCCAGGACATCCAAGATGTAGGGGACTTTGTTTCTTCAGTAGAACACAAACGGAGATTTTTAACTCAAACCGTTGCAGTCTGTCAGTCTTATAATGTAAGTGGATGGGAATCACGGCTTTGAGAGTCAAAAAACATACACAAACAAAACCAAATTAAACCCTGCGGCTCGTGACGATACATTGATGTGTAAAGACACGAAACGATCGGTCTGTGCAAGAAACTATATATAGTTTTTTACCTCTGATTTACTGCAATGTCCGAACTGTCCTGAGCGCGTTCGTCGTCGTCTTCTTGCTTTACGGCGGATCACAGACTTATAAGTGCATTACCGCCACCTATCTCTCAAATCGACCATTGACACTCCTAACAGAGTTTGTAGATGGACTGTTAATGGTACATTTGAGATAGGTGGCGGTAATGCACTTCTAAGTCTGCGATCCGCCGTAAAGCAAGAAGAAGAAGAACAACGTGTCACGCGCCGGCTGTTGAGAACGCGTTCAGGACAGTTCAGACATTGTGGTGTATACGAGGTAAAAAACGATATAAATACTGTTCAGTTTCTTGAATGACTTCCTCCCTTTCCCCCCCCCCCCTTTTTTTATATTCTCACCCACAAATTAGTTATTTTACTAATTGACCATTGACACTCCTAATTGAGATTGTAGATGGAGTGTCAATGGTCCATTTGAGAGATAGGTGGCGGTAATGCACTTCTAAGTCTGCGATCCGCCGTAAAGCAAGAAGTCGCGTCACGCGCCGGCTGTTGAGAACGCGTTCAGACATTGCGTGAATCAGAGGTAAAAAAAGCTAT